AAAAAGTACTAAAAACAATACCGCGTTTACAGTACTATAGCATTAAAACTACGTAGGTAAATTTAATAAAAATTGCAGATAATACGCTGTGAATTCAAAGGAACATTTTATCAAATTTTCAGGATATGTTTTCTCGTAAGAATTTTTATGCAGTAAACTCGCGACCTACCTTAAGTTGTTTATTTCCAAGTAAGTATTTTGTCACTCAAAACAATCGTCACTGTATGCCGATGAAGAGCTTTAATCTAAAACTTACACTCGGCATTGAGGGACATTGAGCAGTAATGGTTCAACGCCTACCCTAAAACAAGACCTAAGATTTGAAGGTATCATCCGGACGATCCGTAATTTTTACATCTAACGTCGAGTGCATGTCAAAGAACCGATCACTACCTGTGTTTACTTCTACGATTTGACAGAAACGTTCGGTCGAAAATGGAATAAAACATTCAAGACAAGAAGTAAACTAAAAAACATGATTTTATCCTAATATCATAAAACTACGACGGCGTATTAGTGCCATAATAACAATGTAGAATTTTTTTTTAAATCGTTTGTACGATTTAATAAATCGTTTGAACGATTTAGTAAATCGTTTGTACGATTTAGTAAATCGTTTGTACGATTTAGTAAATCGTTTGTACGATTTAATAAATCGTTTGTACGATTTAGTAAATCGTTTGTACGATTAAATAAATCGTTTGTACAATTTAATAAATCGTTTGTACAATTTGTTTGTTAAATCGTTTGTACAATTTATTAAATCGTTTGTACAATTTATTAAATCGTTTGTACGATTTAATAAATCGTTTGTACGATTTAATAAATCGTTTGTACGATTTAATAAATCGTTTGTACGATTTAATAAATCGTTTGTACGATTTAATAAATCGTTTGTACAATTTAGTAAATCGTTTGTACGATTTAATAAATCGTTTGTACAATTCAGTAAAACGTTTGTACAATTTAATAAATCGTTTGTACAATTTGTTTGTTAAATCGTTTGTACAATTTATTAAATCGTTTGTACGATTTAATAAATCGTTTGTACGATTTAATAAATCGTTTGTACAATTTTGTAAATCGTTTGTACAATTTAATAAATCGTACAAACGATTTATTAAATCGTACAAACGATTTATTAAATTGTACAAACGATTTATTAAATCGTACAAACGATTTTAAAAAAAAATTCTACATTGTTAAAATTGCACTAATACGCCGTCGTATAAAACTTACGAACAGAAATCCAACTGACTGAAATACACAGATAATGTCTTTTTTTTTATCGAATAACAATATTCTAAAAACATTTCGTGAGTAAATTACATAATGTACCCATGCTCTGAAAAAAGAATCTGGTTCGTTTGGATTTTATTTCCTGGTTTGAAAATGAGACCTTGTGATTTATTTCTAATATAATAAATTCATGGGTCTCTAAATAACATGAGAAGAAAAATAATTTACCCTCATGAAAATTAGATACACTGGATCATAGCACATAAGTTAAGCCTTGTAAATGTTGTGTAAATGATGTCTCATATTTTCTATTAATTTTACCAGAATGTTAGACAGGTACAAGTCCTAAACATTTTAACTTTTGAACACAATAAAGAAAGAAACAAAATATTCTTCTTAGTTTGTCTTTTGATCATTTTCTTATTTCTTTCTATATAAGGGATAGCATATAAGATAAATCTTTCTATATTAAAAGTTAACTTAAATATTTTTCATTTTAATCCAGTACTTGAACTGCAAAGCGTTTTTCTCTCAAGACATGTATACATTCGTTCTGTATAGTAAAACTATCCTTAATGTCAGATAAATAGCCAATCAGTATGAGGGATAATAAAAAAAAAGTTGAAATGATTGAATTTAATCCCAAAAAGAACTTAAATTTCCTTTTATTGTTTATTATTATTATTTTTTTCATTTTTAATGCAAGCCTATGACAATTCTGCAAAGGCTCGAATCCAATGATCAAGGCGATGATACGTTCCACAGGCTAAAAGATTTGTCCCAGTCTTATCCTTCTTTCTATGCAATTTTTTTTAAATTAAGAACAATGTATTTATTGGAAATGGACATATTTCAACAATAGGAGCGTTGAATATGCATGGTGACCATCACAAAACATGTCCTCTGTCTTAAGTACGTTATTTATTCAATATCAATAGAGTATTAGCGCTTCTTTTTGTCATATTTGATATGTAAAAGTCTTCAGAAAACGATATTTTTAGCGATGCAATACTTATTTGCTGCAACGTTGAGATCTTTAAAAATTTTTAACTAAAGACACATCTTTCCTCAGTTTTTTTTTTTATTATTTCACTGGGCAGTACAACAAATATTTTTAATCATTTACTGATCTTCATCAAAACAGCCATTCAAATTTGATATTTAACTTCTGGCAAGTCTTGTGTCTTCATAACCCTTGTACAAATTACTATATGCTAGTGGAAATTCTCAAGAGATACGTTAAACTTAACAGTCGTGCGCGTCTTGAGAACGACTGAGTGCAGGCACGTAGTATCCGGGGGGGCCAGGGGGGGCCTGGCCCCCCCACTTTTTTCCCCAACATTATACCTTTACGATAGAAAATGTCTATTGAAAACATGGTTGCCCCCCCCACTTTTTACCACAGTATATACTTAGCAAGAAAATATAGGAAAAATTTGGTAGTGAAAGGAATTTTTCCTTGAAAAAAGTTGTCCACTACCCCCCCTCCCCCCCCCCACCACCACCACCACCACCACCACCAGGAAATAGGATTCTCGAGTTTGGGTAATTTTTAATTTTCGTTTTTTTTTTTTTTTTTTGCTTGTCACCTTTTTTTAGGTTAGTAAAAAAATTTTTCTCATGTTGGCCCCCCCCACTTTCAAAAACGATGCTACGTGCCTGGAGTTAACCATTTTTTTGTCACAAGTCACCAATATTTTGACACCATTTTTATATCTTGACTTCACAAACATCGAACAAAAGATTACCTAAACAAATGCTATTTATAGAACATGTTTATGATTATAAACATTCCGATCAGAGTTGTGGTTTTGTAAGTATTATGACGGCTCTCCATTTTTTAAACGACTCGTACATACTCTATTTGAGTTGAACAGCTTCTTGTTCTCACTGAGTTTTGTATTTCAAATGCAGGACAAAAGCTAGAGTTATCGTGAGAAATGAGCTCACTAAATGATATATACGAGGGCCGTTCAAAAATTACGCGGACTTGTTGCACAGAAAAAATTTTTGACGACATAATCGGACAAAATATCACACATAATAATAAAAGAATCTTTACTTATATGGTCTTCAAGATTTCATATCAAAATGTTAAAAATTGGTATCAATTTGAGTGATTTTTCAGGACATAACATTAAGTCACGGAGCAGCAAAATCTTCGACGTCACAGGCATTATAAAAAAATGTGATCTATCTCTCATTTTCTCAACATTTTCCCAAGAGTTCCTGCACAGTTTGAGTTACCTTATCTGCTCAACATCCAAACACCATTACTTGTCAAGCTAAATATCTATTAAACAAGTAAAGAACAATCATTTTTTCGTTTTAAAACCAAAAACTACAGGTATTTATGAGATACAGTGTGATATTAGTGGCTCTCAATCACGTTCTTTACAGTCCGGATAAAGTTTTCGACGAAAATCGTCTGCCCGTCCTCCCTTATAGCCTTTTTACAGAGGTCTAACGGTCTCAAATTTCAATTTGCTATTTGTGGACGAATGTCACGAATACCCTAGTTTACTTCTTGTTTTATTATGCATATTTTGGATCCATGTTGGCGATATTTTGAGCATTACACATACTTTAACAAAAGTGTGGTGCGCCGTCAATTCAGGAGACGTCATTTTCACAGTCGTTTTCACGGGAATCGCATCAGAGAAAAATCACTATATTTCAGTTAATACTTCAAATATCACGTCAGAAAGCTAAATACATAATAATAGAACAATTTAAAGATACATTTGAAAAAATTGTCGAAAAATATCGCGAATTATAGAAAATAAATGAGTTAAATTTTGGATTCCGCATGCTTTTGCTTTAAATTTTTTGTCGTGCTCCGTATCTCTCCATCAGCGATATCAACATACCGTTAATTTTAGTAGATTTTTTTTAAAATACAGAAATTTTGCCCAAAATTTATTGAAATCTTTAGGATACATATTTCTGTGAAATTTCATTGCCATATGACGTCTTTCAGAGTAAATAATAGAACAGTCCGCGTAATTTTAGAACGGCCCTCGTATAATTGCAGTGTCCATGTTTAGCTATGGAAAACGAAAAATATGTGTCGGATTAAAAAGTAAAAAAGAATATGAGGTGTAGAATGGCAATATTAAAGATTTTGTCAAAGTTTCATCAGATTTCATTCAGTGCTATGAGAGGACTTGTTAATAAGAGATTGGAACCCCAAACCGTAACAGACGGACGGACAGCTAGGCATACAGACGGACGGATATCCCGATTACTATATACCTTCCCGCTTTTCAAGCGGTGGGTATAACAAGTGTAATATGAAAACCTAACACTTCAAGAATTAAAAATATAAATAGCTTACAAACACATACTTTATTGTCTTCTAAAAGAATGAGAAATAGTTTATCAACGGTGACGAAGATATACTCACAGCGTGAAAGCTGGCAAACTAAAATAAACAAAAAAAGTATTTAATAATATAATATACATTTTAATAAAATATACAAGAAAATAAAATTCCAAATACGTCATGGCTCATGTTTAATGATTCTAAAAAAAATAATTTAAAAAAAATAAGTTCAGGAAATATATATGTACTCACTGCCGTCCAGATGTAATTGCTAAAAGAAGTAACAGCGTTTTTTTTTTATTATTTATTTTATTTATTTATTTTTTTAATTTATTTTTTTTTATCTTTTTTATTTTTTATTTATTTGTTATTTTTCTTCTTTTTTTTTTTTTTGTTTTTAAGGAGAGCGATAATTCTTACATAGTTTTATACTTACTGTCTGAACGCTCAGGAACTGTAATAGACAAATGATATTTTCAATAATACAGAACAAATTGTGCTTCTCTCATTCAAACCTACTCATATATCCAAACAAATGAAAAAGAAGTTAAAACTTGAGCAAAAGGAACATTGTAAAACATTTTGTTAAAATGAATTCCGGTCATATATTTTGCTTTTTTCCAATCCAAACGTGAGATAAGTAGATAAAGAAAAAGTGCATTTTGTAAAAGATTGTCCCATATAATGTAAATATTAAAAACCTTTTTTAAATATTCAAATCTAAATTTGTAAATTGTGACAGAAAAACAAGACAGAAACTGTATCGTAAATTGTAGTTCAGTGATTATTCTATCTTTATTCTTTCAACATGAAAAACTATTAACTCTGATTAAAGAAGTAATGTAAGGATGCTAGAAGTCATTTGTATAAAAGATCGTTCTGAAGGGAGAGCTTTGTTTAGCATACTGTAATGATCAAAATATTTTTTTATCGATCATTCTCTCAAAACATATTATTTATGTTGTTAATAGTGATGACTTTTGCATTTCAAACGTCGTTTTTTTTTCTTTTTACGCAGAAATATTCCACCACCATCTGCATACGGAGTTTATACATGTATCTCTTAGTTAAATAGATACGCAAGAGGATGCTCTAAGTATGTCAAATGCCGACTGACGTTTCTCATACTTTTCGTGAGACCATTATTTACACAATGCATTGAGGACGGATTTTTCCGTTATTTTCCTATAATGACAAGGGGCACACGGCAGTTGTGATTGGTCGGCAGGGGGTGCTCACTCCTCCGTGGCACTATGTTCCAACCTCTTGTGTTTTGCATTGCTCCAATTTTGTATCGTTTTATGGACTTTTGAGCTTGAATGCGGTTCGTTATCTCCATATATTTTATAAATGTAAAATAAATTAAATATCTTACTTTTATAAAAACCTAAATGACCGGTTTAAAATTATAAAAGAATGTCTGTACGATATTTGCATTTTTTTTCTCAATATTGCATATATTAACAAACAAAAGAATGATATAACCATGCAATATTTAAAATGTTTAATACTTACATTCAAAAAATTCGAAATCTGTAAACATACATAAACTTTGAATTAATTGCTGTACATGTAATGAAACACGTGTAAGTCAAAGTTTACTTATGAATATAAAACGTAGAATACAAAAAAAAATAAACAAAACAAATTTATTAAGTAAAGAAAACGAAATTATTGGATTAGGAAAACGAAATAATGAAATAAAGAGAATGATCTAATAAAATAAAGAAAACGATTTAATAGTCCAATCCACACTTTGCAAAAGTTGTTTCCCTCTGCGGGGTCAACCAAAAGGTCAAAAGGGAAAGAAGCGTCATTTCTCCTCTTTATGCTACGAAATATTTGGGCGTGCTGTGAAAAATCCATAGTGTTTATTTTTTTTCTTTCACTGTATGGGTAGCCCCATCTTGGGGCAATCAGTACACAAAAGGAAGAGCTTTTTTAAAGTCAAATGACGAAGTTACAAACCTAAAAACTACAAAGGCTACTCTGTGGATTGTATGGGTTTATCCCCTAAGATGGCGGCCAAGGGACATAACTTTGGAAAAGTGTGGATTGGTGTATTAAATAAAAAAATGAAACAAGAACAGTTGAACATGGTAAGGGCCTAAACCCATAAATCATTCCATAAAACTCACATTTGTTATAGATCCGATTTTGTTTCAACATTAAAACAAGTGTGATGTCTGCATTTACATTTAGCGAAGTTTAATAATTTTGTTATGTTTTCTTAAATATTTTTATTTTCTTTATTTGATAATTTCGTTTTTCGCTTTCTTTAATTTTTTTTTTTTTTTTTGATTTGCGCTAATGGGCAGTTGTAATATATGGAAAATTATATTAAGAAGAAACAAAGCATATTTTTGATCCCACCTCTGTTGTTTCGGGTGTCAATTTTGTATATATATATTATTATAACAGTAACTTGATCCGAAGGGTCGTATCACGTCGAGTTGACAGACGCAAAGCGTCGAGTTTGATCTGACGATCCGCGCCTGTCAACGACACGTGATACGGCTCTTCGGATCAAGTTACAGTTATAATGATAAATTTATCATATACCCCCTTATAACTGGCTAAATATATTAGAATAAACCTTAGAGATCAATTGTATAATATTAATCCATTTAAAAAAGGCATAATTACAAGGGACTTTTTAACGCGCAAGAAAAATAACGTCATATTTCTGCGTACTACGTCAACAGTTTCAGAGAGTGGTGATATGGATTCAGAAAACAACATGTTGGTGATCCGGAAAATCGGATCACGACGTCACGTGATAGCGTAAATTCAACAGTAAAATTGGGTGATACACATTAGGTATATAATAAATTGTTTTATGGACTGTGAGATTGAATACTGCTCGTTATCTCCTTATTCTTCTTTGATCAAAGTATAAAAGAATGGAATGCTTGAATGAACGCATACATGCATGTTTATTTAAAAAACCATCCGTCTGTACCAATATATTGGCACAACGTTAGGCCAACAAAGCTCATTTTTGGAACAAAGATGAATGCCAATATTGAATCAACTAGAAAATCATTTTTCTCTTTAAAATCGATTCACATAACTAAGCTAAATTTGCTGGAAAAACTATCGAAAATTAACCTTTCTTTTGTATGTCTTTCAGTGATTGGTCTCCCTCGGTACATGAAATATTCTTACTTATCTTAATACCCATATCTTTATCCGAAATGAGAAATAGCATAACTTTTCAATGAACTAAAATGAGTGTTGAAACATATAGGAAATTACCTCAGAACTAAACTATGGCAATGCATTCACTTTATAAAAAAAAAGGTAAGTCTTCCAAGTTTAAAAAAAAATCTGTTGCTGCAGATTCTTTGTCATCAACACGCCGTGCAACATCACTCACTGAAAATCACAAGCTCAGCATTGTTGCGATAGAATAGAAAGATTACAATAATACATATAAAGATCTTTGCTAAGATAAATATTTCATTCCTCCTGGTTATGAGACATTTCGCAGCTAAAAATTAGCATGATCCAGACGCAGTTTTAAAATATGGAATTATTTTTTTATATATAACCTGAAAAAATCATTGCTAAAATTATTTTTAGCTCATTAATTTTAATAATATGCGATTCTTTTCATCATTATATTTATTTATGATAGAAGACAGTTCGTTAGAGAGTAAATATGGCCAAAAAGATTTTTTTTGTCTGCGTCTGCTCTATTGTCGCGAAGTAAGGAGTCAATCCTTACGTCGCGGGTTCCAATCCCACCGTGGGATCATGTCAATTTTGCATTGTTATAATAATGATCACATTGTTTGTTTCCTAGTTGTATATGCCTCCAGAGGGCCCTTGATTGGTGAATAAATAAATATACATAGATTGGTTCAAAGGAATATGTACTATGTTATATCCAAATTAAGCTAATCCTTGTGGATTCAAATATCGGCTACTGATCTGGAAATATTCTGTATGGTTGAAATACTACATATGAAATATACATTTCAATTCTAATGTGAAGAAAAACTAAATATATTTTATAATTATTCAGGGTTCTTTTCAGACTAAATTATCTCGTAAAAAAATTATCAGAAAATCCCTAGAATCTATCTTAAACTCTCGATGATTTCTTAGTTATATATAGATAGATATAAAAATTCTCTCGGTGTTCCTTGAGTATAAAGAAAACACATAAAATACTCATAGACATACCTGCAAAGTAACCTAAAGTCAGTAATTCAATCAGGAAATTTTACTTTAAGGCATTTCCACCCTCACAATTTTAACATTTCAAAGTAGGAAAACTGTGTTTATTAATATATTCACTGAATATAGTTTAAACTAGAAGTATTGTTAGGATTGAGATAACTAAATGATACCCCGCCTCCCATATGAATATAATGGCAGTGTAATTGTTTTGCTATGGGAAAACACAATTATGTGTCGCATTAAAAAAGTAAAATCAGAGGTGCACTATGGCATTATGTGATTAAGACTCTCTGAACGTTTTATTAAATTTCATTCAGTGGTAAAACTGGAGTTAATGATTAGAGATGGATACCCCACTGCGTAACAGAGAGACATAAAGACGGACAGCTAAATTTTTCAGCAAAATACACGAATTTTCTTATTATTCGGTATTTACACGTACTTTCTTAAACGGACAGTAAATAAATGTTTTTGCTGAATGGCAAAGAAAATACATGAAATTCCTGCTTTCATGAATGTAATGTAACATAAATACATGTATTCATAAATAAATTTCCGAAGGGGGGGGGGGGGGTTGATGTAATTCGCATTTATTCGTCTTATTCTAAAAAAAAATGTATAACATGTATCTTGTTTAAGGAGCAGAGCATATTTTTATATAGGTTTAGTTTTTTTCTATGCATCCATGATTGTCTATCATTTAATCTATTACTTTAGTAAAAACTGGTTTGTTAAACTTAGATTTTACAGATTGTTTAAAAGAACGTCAAGGATCATCAGGATTCTATACTTGTGCAGTTATTTAGTAATGCAAAGACATAATTTAAGGTTTCGTGTTGTGTTTCTTTGACCGCCACTCGCTTTATGGATATATCCCTTTTCCATGACCACGGTGTATTCACGAAGAATAATCTTACCGTATATTCAAACCTTACTCACCCTATCCCAAACATCTTAGGTTACCTCTTCTGCATACGCTTATTTTCTGGAGGTTTTGTAGTTTTCAAGTTGAAAAAAGACCAAGGAATGTATGTCCAGCATGAAATGCATTTTTCAATATAGATTGCTACTAAAAAATTCTTTAACCACGAAGTCCCCATGAACAAAAATATTTTGCTGAAAGCATAAATATTTGCCCCTCGAACATATGTGATTTTAAGTTGCTTAAATGTATTGTCGGTTAAAAACACTACAATTAAACAATTCCTAAATAAACAAAAATTTGATACCATGGCGCTACGAACAAAAACAAAACCTATTTGTACATATCTTACAAAAAAGTTTTAGAATTTAAAACTATTTACAGTTTTTAAATTGAATTTTTTTTATTTCAGTTTTTGGCAATTTGATTCATCCACTTATGTATTATGTTCCAAATTCTCTAGTCAGAGAAAGTATCTAAATTTCACCAACTCTTGTCAAGACTATTTTAGGAATTTCATGTGTGTAAGTTTTACCTTTTGATATTTTTCTTTTGCAACTGTAAAATCTACTTTAGCAAACTTAACCATCAATAATGTTCCATGCTGTTATTTAAAATCATTCCTTTTCATCGACGATGGAGGGGGCTATTTAACTGCTTTTTCTGTTTTAAAGCCACTGTTAATCAAACGGGAAAAAATTATCCTTTCGAGTTACTTATATTTGCAATTTTAATTTTAATTTTAAGGTACGTCACTCGTCAACTTTTTAGAAAAGTTCACGCAGAACCTCTTACTTCAAAACTATTTATCAAAATTCAATTTTTATGACATATTAAAACTCAACAATGCAAATTTTGTAACAATCAACGAAAAAAGACGCTCAAAAATCTACAAAGAAACCAGATTTATGAGGGACTATTTTTTTGCGGTGGAAGGATATTTAGCAGAAAATTCTGCAAATCTGCACATCTATTAAATTTAACATCATGGAACTTTAGCCTCACATACTTATGCTCGGAGAATATTTTCCGTTTGGGTATTGTTAGGAATATCTAATATAGGTCTTAATTTATATTTTTAGAACAAGTTTTACACCTTCCCTCAACAACCTTTGCCAAAATATGAAGATATGTCAAAGAGGTCATGATAAAATTTACACCATTTTTCGCCTGAAAATCGCATATTTTGACCAATATTTCAAAATTCTGCATTTTTAGAACAATATTTACACCTTCCCTCAACAAACTTTGCCAAAATATGAAGATATGTCAAAGAGGCCAGGTCGACGTCTCCATATGAGTGAAAACTTCTCGAGAGGGACGTTAAACAATATACGATCAATCAATCAATCAATCAAAGAGGTCATGATAAAATTTGCAACATGTTTCGCCTGAAAATCGCATATTTTGACCAATATTTCAAAATTAACATCACTGACCTCAACTTTTTCTTTCATTATTTCAAACTACTCAATACTTGTGACTTATCAGCACTTAAGTCATAAAAAGCTTGATTTAAGAAAATGTTTTATTGCTTATTTAGTTTTTAATACCCCCAAACATGTTACTTTTTAGTGCAAAAAGGTCACATAAAAATTTATGCGCATTAATTTGCAAGACTTGTTCAATGATAAATATTATTTAAACTATTTTAAGTAAAATAAGATTATATCTATTGCCATGGTTACATCTGATAAAATATAATAAAGGTTAAAGTAATGAACCAAAGAGTTAAAATTTAAGTGCAAAAAGGTCAATTTAATTGCACCGTAGATCAGTAAGATGCACACTGACCCCCTCTTTTCTCTGCGATTTTGAGTTACACTATATGAGTACTTATCAAAACTAGAGGTACTGTGAGCAATGAGCTCACTAAATGATACCCCCCGCCTCCCATATGATTATAATGGCAAAGTCCATGTTTTGCGGTGGCCGGGAAACCCAAAATATTTGTCGGATCAAAAAATAAAATAGGAGGTGCACAATGGCAATATATAATAAAGATTCTGTGAAAGTTTCATTAAATTTCACTCAGTGGTTTAAGAGGAGTTGAGGATAAGAGATGGGTACCCCAAAGCGTAACAGACGGACGGACAGACAGACGGACGGACGTACAGACGGACGGACGGACGGACGGACGGACGGAATTAACGATTACTATATACCCTCCCGCTTTTCAAGCGGGGGGTATAAATATACTTCTCAAAAAATCCTTGATTTAACAAATTTCACGGGTGACATACCTTAGGAAGATGAAATGTTGACATGACCTGTAAAGTTTTTCGACCGAGACATAGCGTTTCCATTTTAGGTAATATTATTATACCCCCCGCTTGAAAAGCGGGAGGGTATATAGTAATCGTTAATTCCGTCCGTCTGTCTGTCCGTCTTGCCGTCTGTCTGTCTGTCCGTCCGTCTGTTACGCTTTGGGGTTCCCATCTCTTATCCGCAACTCCTCTAATATCACTGAATGAAATTTGATGAAACTTTCACAGAATCTTTATTACATATTGCCATTGTGCACCTCCTATTTTACTTTTTGATTCGACATATATTTTGAGTTTCCCGGCCACAGGAAAACATAGACTTTTTCACCAGTAATAACCATATGGGAGGCGGGGGGTATCATTTAGTGAGCTCATCGCTCACAGTACCTCTAGTTTAGATTATAATGGGTAATGATATCTAAAAACAAATCACAATGTTAGCCCAAAAAAATCTCATTTTGTTGTCCCAACGATGAATGCCAAAGTTAAATCAACAACAAAGATTCCTTTCAACTAAACGTTTTTACATATATGTAAACAATAATATGAGAGTCTTTTTAAGGACGATTCAAAATATAAACCTAAATTTGCTGTAAAACAAAAACAATAAAAACTTTTACCTTTCTTATGAATAGCATTTGCTAATTCGTCTCCCTGCGTACATGAAATAATTATCTTGCCTTTTGTATTACCCATATCTTTATCTGAAATGAGAAATAGCATTACTTTTCAAAAAGACTCAAATGGGTATAAAATAAATATTTATAAAAGCCTAAAAATATGAAATAACTCAGAACCAAATCTTTGAAATTAATGTCCATGCAATACTGAATTTAACATTGACTTCATTAAAGCAAATAACTGTAAAATAACCTAACTACATGTACCATGTGAACTGAAAAATTTCTTAAAAATCTATTTGTCTTCAATATATAACTATCTATGAACAATAATTTTTCCGAAAATAGCATAGTATTTCAAGAATTTCCATCCTTATTAAGACCTGATTTTTTATTCCACGCCCCTCCCCCTCCCTTAGTATGGGTGCCCAGGCCTGTTGTTCTAAGAGGTCGGAAAATGGATGCTTTTACTTTATGAAAAATCTTCTAATTTTCTAAACAAAAATCTTTTTTCTGTATATTCTTTATCATTTAGTTCCCGTGGGGATCCGGTTTAGAATAGGTCCTCAGTACCCCCTTGCTTGTCGTAAAAGGCGACTAAATCGGGCGGTCCTTCGGATGAACCGTATAAACCGAGGCCCCGTGTCACAGCAGTGTGGCACGATAAAGACCCCTCCCTGCTCAAAGGCCATAAGTGCCGGGCATAGGCCTAAATTTGCAGCCCTTCACCGGCAATGGTGACGTCTCCATATCCGTGAAATATTCTGGAGAGGGACGTTAAATTGTATACAATCAATCAATCATTTATCATTTACACGTCGTGCAACATCGCTCACTTAAACACATTACATGGTCCGCCTCTCTTTTAATTTAGAGACTTTTTCTCGATTTATTTGGTTCTTTTTTGTTAGAATAATAGCTGTCAAGCCACAAATCCGAAATAAAATCATTTTAACACATTGCTTCAAGGTGTATGACTTGGATCGCCTTCATTGGCTTTTAAGAATTTACGGTGTTACATTGAAATAATAAAACATTGTTCAGAACAAAAAATCGTCAGAACTGGTTCTTGAATGTTTGATTCTCTTCATAAAATTGTGTCTTCCTCATGGTATTATGATACACAAAAAAGTAAATAAATGACAATTTCAAAAAACCTCTTTTTCAAGATTCTGCAAAGATTATATATCGATATTTACGACGAAACTACAAGGTCAAACTAATCGTAGTTTTCAAAAGTTGTGTTCAATCTTTATTTGTAACTATAAGATTTTATCGATCAGAAATTATTGAAGCGCAGGTAAAAAAAAATGTGTAACAAGGTTTATCTTATTGAATTTAAATGTACGCAACTTCAATCGTCTCCAATGCATTAGTTTTAATAGTCATTGCTCAATTCAAAAGGGATATTAATTGCTTTTTTTTTTTAATATTTTAACTGTATGGCTTTAAATATGAAATATGTCAAGAAAAGACAGTGATAACATATTTTCTTATTAGCTAACATAAAGGTTACGGTAAAGATTGAAAAAATATATAATTTTAAGGAATGACTCTAATTCTTGGCCAAATTATCGAGTATAATATGGTTTGGGTCAGTTTACGCTTTATAATCCGCGAAGCGGATTATAAAAAAGCGTAAACTGACCCAAACCATATTATACTCGATAATTTGGCCAAGAATTAGAGTCATTCCTTATAATTTAATTTTAAAATAATTATTCAACTGGGGATGTAGAATTGTGTTGTTTTTATGAGTTCAAACTTACCGCGCAATAATACAACCGTAGTAACGGAAGTGATGGGAAGCGAGGGGAGGTAAAAACTGATACATAGATCTAGCAGCCATGATGCTTGTTTACATGAGGTAAGATCGAGTAACTGTTTGAAATTAAAGGTACATTCATTAAATCTGGAATTTTCCATGAATCCCAAGGACTGGAAATGAGGGTATTGATGGATACAGATGATTATGCTGGTTGTCAAGGGGGTGTGTCCCCACACCAAACCAGATTATACAAAATGTTATGCGTTCCTTTTTGGAAATCAACCAATGAGAGGCAAGAATACAAGCAAAATTAAATTATATATAAATCAAAAGAATACATAAGATAGAGCAAAGAGCAATTTTTTTTTTATCAAATATGTATGATGAAACCATATCAATATCCAAATGACATAAAATGGTATCTTTTCATACAAATTACAGAAAAATAAAAATGGAAACTTTTTCATTGAATAATACGCAAATATATACCTCAATACACTTGTCAAAACATAATATATGAAGATCTGAACTTACCTTTCGGCTTAAATTCAAACAGATTTTCACTCTTAGTGTGCGTTTCAAAAGTCTGGATGATACATTTCGCCAGGGGTCTGTAAATTGATCAGATTATATCTTAAGAGTCTCAACGATGTAATTAAGATAAGGCAATTCAGTAAATTGGTCCTCTGTTTTTTAAAAGCCAATGCATGGATAATTTGCAAAGTGAACATGTCTAAAATTAGCTCCATAGACACTAGGCACTAATACACCTCTGACGAAATCCTTATACATTGTCAGGAAATGGAATTAATATTGAATTGGGTATTTTTTTAATCGACAAGGATAAAGAAAGAAAAGGTTTACAAGAACAATATTGGTTAACTCGAAAAACAAATGCAGAAAGAGTGTGTTCTCTTTATCTTTTCTTGAATAAACCTGAATCTACACCAGTTTATCTATGTATGCTTCCAAATAAATATAACAATCACGACTTGGTATTTCCTGCTCATGGAGTTTACATCTTTCAGTTGATTCAATACACATGAGCAAGCTCTACGTTTGAATAATTTTTAAACGAGGTAAATTATTGAAAAGCAAGTTGCTGAAACAAGAATATCACCAGTCTGATTTCAATTCATCATTTCGTACGTTCTATGGTCGGTACAATGAACAGTTATTATTTTAACAAATTTGAATCTACACTACCTAAGTATGTTTCCATATAAACAGGACTTTTTATGGCTTTGTTGTTCTTGGAAAGAAGATATTGAAAGATTTTCTCCATGCACACCTATGTAAAACTTCGATGGTCCATTACAATCTCGCCCTTCCCGCGGTGGTGATGATTGAACAAACTTGAAGCTGCATTACTTAAAGATGTGTCCATATATATGTTTCCTTGGCCAGTGGTTCTTGAGAAGAAGATTTTAAAAAGATGCCATTGTTTTTATCACTAATTCCTAAATATCTCCCCTTAAAAGATGATTGGTCTTTCATTTGAACAAATTTAATGTCCTTTCCCCAGGGGTACCCTGTAGCAAGTTTAGAAATTTCCCCTGTCAATCTTAAGAAGTAGTCGAATATGTGAAAACTTTAAAGACGGACAGACAAACAAACGGCCGACTGCAGACACAATCTGATCAAAAATCTCATTTGACCTTTCAGTTCAGGTGAGTCATAAAGCTAAGAAATAACAGGGAATTCTTAGGTGACATTCAACTTTTTATAACTGAAAAACTATTTTCATTAACTGGGGTTCTTGTATCTGCGAATTAAAGTCATTTATGTTATAAATATACGCGAGTATGATATTTGCAATGAAACAGACTCGCGTATTTATGCAAATAAAATCACGTTAAATGTAATTTCCGCCATGAGGTTTCAAAATATGCAACTTATTTCAAGTCTCAATGTTGGTTGGTATTTTACCTCAAAATAACGCTGACGAATTTATATTATTCAATGTTGAAAAAGTGTTTGGTTTGTACTTAAAATTAATTGCTCTCTGTCAAAGATGTAATTTACATGTATTTCTCTCTAGAAACTAGTAAAGTTAAAGAAGAATCAAAAGCAAAAATACATAAAGTTCATAATAGAATTTACTTTGAAAACTGTTCTGGAGATAGTTCATTGTTGTATCATAATGTTTTCATAATGTTTAAAATTTACAGCAAAAATGGACAGCAGGCTGGTAGGTGCCTGAAGTCATTGAACTTAAGTAAATTGAGAAAGGAAATATACCTATTTTAGTCATAGTTTCCATTTTCTCTTCGAATGTTTTTTTTCTCGACCATATCTTTATCGAAAAAATGCGATTATTAAAATTCTATATGTAGTTATCAAGAAGAAGGTACAGTTTCAACACAAATAAAGCCCTATATTTTTCTCAAATATGAAAGTGATATAAGAAATAAAAATTTATTCTTTGTGAATCATAGGAATTCTCTGCAGTAAGAATACACAAATGGTTTTTCTCATATGACTTCCTAAATGCCAATTGTGACGTCATTAACTTGTGCATTTTCCCGTATTTTCTTTAAAAAGTTGCAGAAGACCAATTTTCAGTGGAATTTTCTTTCAGAAAACATACTCTGCCACCGTCGCCCGGAAAGATTTTGAGGTATGTGATTTTTTCATAGTTGTTTGCATAATATATCCAAAAATTAAAGCGGGCGACAGTGGCAGACACTATTTTCTAAAGGAAAATTAGCAGAAAAACGAGTCATTTTAAAGCTTTTCTGCATTAAACTTAAAAATGTGCCAAATTAATGATGTCATATTTTCAAGAAAGGCTCTTCTTCATGCCATATTCTTTAATGATATATCATATTCATCTACTCAACTATTGTTAAAGCCAATTTCATAACTTTTTAAGAGCATTAAATTTTTAGGGCACAATAAAGCTTAATCCATACCGTCTTCTTTAATTTAGATTAATAATATAAATATTGACAAACTTATTTAAGACGCATAAATTCATAGAATGTTGAAGAAACCAACGTCATAGGATATTTGGAGATAATGAATGGTATTCAAGCTTAACGTCCATTAAACAATAAAAAATTGGAGCAGAGAAGACAAAGACCTCACAAAATTGAGCAAAATCCTATGGGTGAAATAAGGAAAACACTTGCTGTGGCCTTCAACTCGACATTTAGATATTATTTATATATCGACGACATATTTTCTGTTAACAATGATTATTTCCATTCTTATGTCGAGACGATATATCCTTGTGAGCTTGAGATGAGAGATACCATAGAGTCTGACACATCTTTTTAATATATTCGATCAGTGCTTACTATTTATGCAAGATATATATATTACTGTAGTCAGCGGCGACTCACACAAATTGTTCCGACGAAAATAGTTCCATCATTAATAAGTAGATACAACATAATTGTTCATGAAAAGAAAAATGTTGTGTATGTCATACGTAAAAGAAACCAAAATTAATGTAAAGGACAAGATAGGGTAACAGCCGAATTTTTGATATAAAAATCAGAACACTGGTAAAACTGTGATAGTTTGTAGTTCAGAAGTTAAAATGATGCTTACTTTAAGACAAGCACCAATTTTGATTCAAAGGCTACATGGAAGCCACTAGAGGGTTCAGAAATAGGACATTTTCCCGAATTTGCTCAATTCTGGTGGATTTTCATCATATTTGGGGTACATTTCTCTTCGGAAAACATAGAGCACACGCTTGCCTATCTGAGATTTTTACACATAAACTGCATCTGATATCAGTGTATAAAATATATAAATTTGGTAGATAGGCAAGCGTGTGCTCTATGTTTTCAGAAAGAAAATGTGCTGTAAAATTAGTGAAAATTTGCATAAAAATGAGAAATTTCGAAAATTGACCTATTTCCTGACCTCACTGTGACCTCTGTATATCCTAAATCTTAAAACCAGCACTTATTTTGAGGCAGGGGTGAAAAGAGGTTTTCATGGATAAACTGTTGGATCATTCTGAAACACCCCCAAAATCGGGGGCCAAATACTGGTCTTACCCTATCTTGTCCTTTTTCGTCCAAAGATCACTTTACCCCCTAAATAAATAAAAAATGTTAATATTCCTAAGCTCGCTCCCTCCTCCCTCCTCAGCTTTTTTTAAGCATGTTTGATAACAGAGAATATCTAGGTCATTCTTCGATTGATATCTTTTCACCGATAAATTGATTATACTTTATCAACAATTGTATTAATTTCATGTTATTTGTTCGTTAATTATCATATAATTTCCTCTTAGAGTGAAAAAAGAATCATTCTGTGTGTGTAATATTAACTGACGGAATTTTCATATTCCTGGCCAGATTCTGCTCGTGTGTGTCGGGAGCGTAGTTATAAAATGTGTAGCAAAACCCGAACCGGGTCGGAGATTTCTAAACTGAAAACCGGGCTCGATCGTGTTGAAGTTCAGCATATTATGTTATATAGAATTTGAATTATGTAACTAAGTTCCGTAACGAATAAATTAGCATAGTTCAGTAATTTTAAAAAAGGGGGTTTCAGTTTAGAATTTCCAGGCCCGGCCCTGAATGGGCCTGATTTCCCTAACCCATTTTAAACACAATTTTTTGCAGATGCAAATGTTAGAACAAAATATACTGAGTAGTTCAGCAGGGATTGTATAATTTTTGTTATCAGAATTCGTATTCATATGATCTAATTAGGAAAAAAGGTGTGTCTGCCATCTCAGCAAAACAAAACGTTATTCACCGAGGTAGCTATAGATGCATTTGACAACTCCGTCACACATGAGTAGACCAAGGCTAACTTGTCTAGCGAACACAGGTATGTGTACTGTTTGTTATGGGACTGGGTGACCGTAATGCTACGGACTCACTAAATTTACACCATTTCCATATTAACTATACACTAAAATTAATACAGTGCAGTTTATTTTTTTTTATAAAAGTCATTAAACACTGTTAAACATATTAAATCTAAAAGTCGAATATCTTAGGATATGGGGTAACCCATATATATTCTTGTTCATATTTGGATATACTACTGCGAAAAAGACGTTTATGGTAATCTACTGTAAACTCACATATTTTGAGGGTCAAATTTTCGTGGTTTTAAGAAAATATATTGATTCATTGCGATTTGATTTCATGGTTGAATAATTTTTCATTGGTAATATATGTGAAAAATTTCGTCGTAGACATAAATTCGTGGGTCTCCATACCTGAAAACAACGAAAATTAAACCCCCACGAAAATAACTTATTTCACATTAACAAACAAGCTCTATGATAAAAGTGATGAATTTATCTTTTTTTTCGTCAACTTCCCTTACTTATGCAGAAATATACCTTTATCATCTGCATACGGAGCTTATTTATTTAACGAACAGTATTCAATGTCAAAGTCCATAAAACTATGCAAAATAGGAGCAGAGCAGAGCAGAGCAAACACGGACTTCCGAAACATCAGGTGCCATTGAGGAGTGAGCATTTCCTGCTGACCGGTCACACCCGCCGTGTGCTCCTTGTCATGATCAGGAAATAACGGGAAAATCTGTCGTCAATTCAGTTTACATGTATAAATAATGTACTTACAATTAGTATGTAAACGTCAGTCAGCATTTAACTTAATGATAAATTGTATTTGTTGTCAAGGTCATTGTATCGACCATAGAACTTACGA